ATTATTATTATTATTATTATTATTATTATTATTATTATTATTATTATTATTATTATTATTATTATTATTATTATTATTATTATTATTATTATTATTATTATTATTATTATTATTATTATTATTATTATTATTATTATTATTATTATTATTATTATTATTATTATTATTATTATTATTATTATTATTATTATTATTATTATTATTATTATTATTATTATTATTATTATTATTATTATTATTATTATTGTTACTGTTTGATTGTTGATAGTGATGATAATAATTATTAAAATTGTTAATATTCAGGGATTTTTAAATTATTTCCAAACCTTTTATTCCTTGTAAATCTTTCGTTCACTTTATTAATTCCTCTGATATCTTCTTCAATACTGATTAAACTAATCATACATTATTATAATTATATCATATTTATCATTTATTAGCGTTATTCCTGTTACATTTTATAATATCATTATCAATCATTAAGTTGATAATAGCAAAAGTCATATTTATTACCATTCATTCATTATTATTGTGATTATTATCATTTATATCAGTACAATTAATATTTGTATTGATTTATGAAATGTAATCATTATAACATTTATTGCTATCATTATTATCGTTATAATTAATCGTGATAAATATTAATGATAGATGAAAAGGAAATTTAATTTACAAATATCATTTCCTTAATCCGAAAAATTCATTTCATTTTTCAACCCATTCTTTTTTTTTTAAACTGTGGTTATTATAAGAGAAATTAAATCCAGTTTTTCGTCATTTACTTACAATGTTACCAGTTCATCTTTTGTTAATTTAATCAGGTAAATTAGAGAGAGAAAAAAAAAAGATCGAAGACAGACCGTATCCCATCTTGGGAATTATTATTCAAGAAGAAAGAATAAAATTAAACCGTAACCCTTCGTCAGAATTATTGTTCGGAAAAAAGAAACGATAATAAATCATATTTCATCACTGAGATTGTTATTCCCGGAAAAAGAATAAAACTAAATGGTATACGGTCATAGGGATTACTGTTTCAGTATCAAAATTTCATTTTCTTTTCTTCTATCATCTTATCAACGAAAAGGAAAAAATATATTCACAGTAGTATCGTAATATGTAAACAAAAGCTTAATAACATTGAATGGAACTGAAATGACATTAGGGAAATGGATAAATTTGAATGGATACTGTCACATACGAATGCAAGATGATAATTGGAAGCTGATGTCAACCGAAGAAATTTTTAATTTGTCAATATCATTGACATTTGTCACAAAACACGGTTCATCCTTGAGTTTTTTCATCATTATCAAATAAATAAAGATGAGAAAAAAAAAGCCAAACGAAAGAAGGAGAGAGAGAGAGAAAAAAAGAAAGAGAGAAGAAGAGGAGAATGGAAATTATAAATATAACTAAAAAAGATGAAAAATCATTTGAAAAAAATAAAAAATTGTACAGTTTATAAAAAATTGAAATTTCTATCATCGTGATATAAATATTCTAAATTTACTTTGATTACTTTGATATAATGGATCAAAATTTTATTGATAAGTGTTCTTTCGTTATTCTTTCCTTTTTTTCTAACAAGTTTTTTTTCTTGTTTTTTTCAAGGTAAATATATAAATGATTGGTAAAAGATTTACTCCTATCATTTGATTGATAAATTCTGATAAGTTGAAAATGAAAGGAAAAAAACATGTAACTGTAAGGTAGGTGTTTTTTTTCTTTTTTTAAAAAATTTGTCGATTTATTTTTTTTGTCTTTTAGAAAAAGAAAATTTTTTTAATTAATTAAAAATTTTGAAATTCTGACCGTCCATAATTTCCAATTATTTCCTTTGGTTTCTGTTCACATCGATTTGGTAATTAAAAAAAGGAACGAAATCATGGGATGATCGATTAGAGCAATTATCATCATCATCATTATCATCACTATTTACCTTTGCATAATGAAGTGTAAGAGGTATTTAATTAGATTAATAGGCTAAAACAATCACATGTAATAGATCCAAATTGTATAGGAGTAAAAGTAGAGGTTAAAGGTCATTGCCGCGTTAGTTTTTATTTCTTTTTTTTTTCTACGATAATATTCCGTAATCAATCATTTTAGAATTATTCACACTTTTTTTTCCCCCCCTAAAACATTTATTATTGATGATGTATGTTGACCAGTAGTTAGTTAGTTGGTCAGTTAGTCAGTTAGCTGACCATTTCTTTTTTGGTATATATCTCTGAATGCAATGACGAAAGAATGAAAGATGACGGAAATAGAGGAGGAAGAAGAAGGAAGGAAGAGGAATGATCGGATTTAGTTTGTGATGAATCTGTTGAACTGTATTCAAATATTCTCCTCCCTCGCATTACAATTGATCTAGGAATGTTTTGTTTATATATGCAACTTCATTTCATGGTTTATTTGGAAAAATTCCTTTTTTTTTTTCTCTAACTTTCTTAAAATAATTTCTCAATTATTATTTCTAATTTAATTTCCAATATTAATCCAATATTTCAATTTTCAATTTAATCATTTCCATATTATTTTTTCCTTTTTTTTTCACTCTCCATTTATTCCATTATTTTAATGCATTTATACAATTAATTTTTTTTCTCTTTTGAAGAAGTAATTAAAGGATTAAACATAAATAATTGACAAATTAAATTCTTTACATATTGAATTATTAAAATTTTTAGAAACAAAAAAAAAATTTTCGTAAAAAATTTTTTGAATTTATTTTTTTTTCCCTTATT